ATTTATCATAAATTGATGAGTGTAAAAAGGCCGTAACTTGATGGCACTTTTGGGAAACCAGTGATATAGGAAAATATGTGAATTTCTAATAGATGACATCCCACCCGTTATTCCTCCTTTTGACAAATTTGTTTTGTACAAACACAGCTGCTTTTAATGTTAATCCCCCCCCCCACACAAACTGTTTTATGTTCCCTGTGTTCATACTTTAAACCCATAAGTACATTGATCCTGGAGATCTTCATTAAGAATTGAATTTCCTGATTCACTGTGCTGGTTTTTATTTTGTTGTTATTTGATGGAAAAATGTTCGTATCTCGCTGAATACGTTGTTTGGTTGCAAGTGCTCCAGTACCAAAAGAGAGCCTGGGCAACTATAAAAAAGAACGTTTTTGGCAAAATTAAAAGCAACGACAGATCCAATGGTAATGCTTGTACAAGAGTAAACATGAATATATAATAATCAGTGTGCTTTCAAAGCTTTTGTCTATGACACGAAGGGAGAAGGTAGGGAACTTGGAGCTTCGTAGAGGCGGCGTGGAGTGGACATGGAACATCCGCTGTGGGCTCTTGGTGGGACAGTGCCGCAAGGCTCTTCGTGAGTGATGGGAAGCTGCAAGACAAAGCATGAAGTATATGGCAGAGTTATTGGCTGATGGATGTTTCTGCCTTTATGAATGGAAATCTAAGGCTAGATCTCTTCTGCCTCCACTTAATATAAGATAAAGCATGGATCCAGCTGCCTGGGAAATTTTCCAGTTTTGAGATTTGTAAGAGTTGGAAAAGAAAGGTGGCAGGACTGTAGCTTTAGAAGGAGTTGCTTTCAAACTACAAATGGAGTATGGTACCGTATACATACAAAATTACCCTTTAATTTATTTGTAAACAAAGCCATCCATCAGAATGTGAGTACACAGGTTTTACATTGTAAGGATGGTTCAGGTCTATACACTCAAACCTGGAACATGTAAGATCCTTAAGCTATTCCAGGCAAAATACTAATTGTATTAACTGTATGCAACATCATAGTCTTTCAATAAGAACTCCAAGATCTTACCATAATAAATTACATTTCAGTCTCAACTCCTAATTTTGAGTGTCTTCTCTTCTTCCCACTGCTTTTACCGGCTGATTTTTAAGCTTCTCTTTTGGAACTACTTTAATTGCTTGGCAAGGTTGGGTCTGAGGGCTTTTAAGCTTTCTGTCTTTTTTTCCCCCCCCCCCCCCGCGCGAATCTC